TCTCTCTCCGGCCTCGTTCGCTGCGTCCCGCTCGCTCCCACGTGCAGACCGACGCTCTCCCGCCGGTACGACAGGTCGTCGCGCGCCTCACTCTGGTGACTTTGAAATTAAGTTGTTACTTCAGTCGGTTTTTATACGTCATACAGTTTGTATACGAGAATCTGTTCGAAATGAGTAAACATTTGGTGATGATAATAAATAGTAAGTTTTATTGTGATTGATAATTTTATTATTAAATGACTTGTGATCGTTACATTTTTGTGAATTAGTGTTCCTCTGTTGTGTCTGGTTATATGCGATTTGTTCCGGTGAGTACGCTTAACTCTTTGTTTGTTATCAGCACTAACGAAAGTTTTAGTTTAATATAAAAAATGTATAAATAAGGTGGAGTCATGCTCCAATTATTCGTGTATTTATTGTGCAAATGTATGTAGAAATTTGAGAATTTAGTAATTGTGTACAAAATTTAGAATATCATAATAGATATTTATGATATTTGTATCGATGTTCTTTTGATTGAAGAAGAAAGATTGTATGCCATGAGACATTCTGTTTAAGCCGGACATTATAAGTAATCATTGCTTCAGGTTTATTAAATGCTTGAATTCAAATCACCAAAATAAATCACAACACGTGGTTAATAAAGTAGTAGTTTTCAAAACTATATATATAGATATATATATATATAGATATATATTTACACATTCACACACATTCCTTGGTGATCAAAATATTACATTATCGAAAATGTACTGATAAAGAAATATATTAGTAATGGCAAAAGAGGCCATTAAGAGCCATCTTTCATAGATAAAACAGTCCATTTATAATGCAAATTTGCAGATTTAATAGATTCTAATTTGGTTAATGATTATGTAACTATATGTTTATGTTTACACCGTAAGCATGTGCATTTCACATTTCTAAATACATGAAATTGAGTTAAACTATTTTAAAAATGAAGGTGCATATGTGTAAATATACATATATACATATCGCCTTCACATATATGTATGTAAATATATATATATATATATATATATATATATATATATATATATATCGCCTGTCTGCACAGTAACCACATGGCATTTTGACAGTATTTAGTACAATTTTGTATGAGAAGCGCTACATAACATAGCCTTGCCATAACATTGGTCTATTTCAAGACAGAATCAGCACTTTACTATATAAGAGCCAATCTTTTCAGAGCAATAATATCAATAAAAAATTGTAGTAATTCATTAAATTTTCAATATTTCTAAACTATTCCACATATTATATTTTGTTATCTTCAGTGGAAATGGCCCGAAGACCTAATCACTTAAAATAAATTATAGCTTTAGATAATGGAGAAGATTCTTACTTGACATTGTAATTCATCACAATGACTTATAGAAAACTGTTGTATTTTTTCTGATTGTCATAAATAAATAAATAAAAAAAAATCTTCAGTGGGCTACAATTTGGAAATAGATTATAAAATAACTATATTGTGTGACAACGAATAAGTTAAAAATAAATAAAACTAATATGTACAGAAGTAAGATTGTGTAAAGACATATATGTAAACTGGAATGTTCCTAATTAACTAATTATAATATTAATTTACAATAACACTAGTACGCTATTACTTATCGATTTAAATTCAAAAGTTACAATAACAATTAATTTTTAAAAATTTAAATTGACAAGAAATAATGTAATTATTGTAAATTATCATTGTTATTATCATAGTAATTAGTAATATTTCAATTCACATTCAAGTTTTTGCACAATTCTACTTTTTTACATATTAGTTTTATTTATTTTTTTCTGCCACATTGACACATAGTTTAATTATTTTGTTTTTTTTTTATTGTAGTTCACTGAAGATGAAATAAGATAATATTGGAAATGTGTGGAAATAATATTTTATAAATGAATACAACTTTTATTTGATGCCATTGCACTTAATATTTTGGAATATATATATATATATATATATATATATCGTATAATATATATATATATTTTTGAATGTCTTGAATTTGATGTTGATATATATGTTTAATTTGAGTTTAATAATCGGGCGTAACATCAATAAAAATAGTATGAGTTTTTTTTAAAAATTTATTTATTTAAAATCCATACGTTTCGGCTAGCATCTTAGCCATCATTCAGTGGTAATCAAGTTAAAATTTTGTATCCTATATCCTAATAATTTGTATCCTTCATATGCTATATTAGGATACAAAATTTTAACTTGATTACCACTGAATGATGGCTAAGATGCTAGCCGAAAAGTATGGATTTTAAATAAATAAATTTAAAAAAAAACTCATACTATTTTTATGATGGTACGCACCCGATTATTAACTCAAATTAAAACATATATATATATATATATATATATATATAATATATATATATATTATAATATAATATGACACACCTGCATTTACTGCAGGTTTTAAAATAGTTGAACTCAATTTCATGCATTTAGAAATGTGAAATGCACATGCTTTCGGTGTAAACATACTACTCACGTAATGATTAACCAAATTAGAATCTATTTTTATAAAAATTTATTTTGCCTCTTATTTACAAATTAGCCATTTACATGGTTATATAATTTAAATTCTAAACTTAACTTAAAAGTTGTATATCTTTCTATAATGTTCAATTTAACTAAATTCTTCTCTCTGTGAACATCATACAATAAATGATCTGTTCTCTGGAAATCAGGAACATGATAAAATTGTGTTCTAATCCAAAGACCCTGCATCCACTCACGTAGGCACATATTTTATTTCATAATTTTTATTTCGAATTTAAACAGGTGTTCAAAAAAACATTCATGGTTACATGTTATTCTATTCATTAATAAAATCATGGTCTTTTTTTAACAAAATCATTAATAGCTTATATATTTATTTTACAAGCTTCATATTATCTTCCTTTAAATATGGATGATATTTGCCAGTACTTTTTATTCCATCTGTTCAATGCACTATTTTTCATGATTTTTTTAATATCTTTATTTAAAATTTCAATATCTTTAATTCAGTTCAAACTAGCACCTTTGGCTAGTTCATCTGTTTGTTTTTTATTTCCTATTCCTACTATGCCTGAATGATGTCTTACCAACCATACTTTTATATTTTTTCCATTTTTTATACTTTCTAAATCATGTAAAATAATAATAATGGCTAATACTGCCCTAACTTAGGGCCCTTGAGGCAGGTCCGTGATCTGAGTTCAACCCCAATTCGATTCAGGGAAGAATAGTGTGATAAATTTCCCCTTGCCATTTCACACCGCAGTGCCATAATCTATTTCAACCTGCAAATTTATATTGTGGATAGACATTTAGATCTATGATTCGAGTATATTATCTTTTTCGAATTATGTAATATTTTGGTCTCCAAGGAATGCGTGAAACCGATACAAAATATTTTGATTGTGAATATCTTCTTCGAAAATTTCTGCCGAGAAAACTAAAATCGATCGTAACCTACATATTTTGTTTCAATCAAACCACTGGTTTCTTTATAAGCAATTGAAACCTGTTCCATGCAGGCTTGCATTCCAATCACCGCATGTGACTTATTACATGTGTCAATGAATAACGTCTTGTAGTACTATATTCAAGAATATTTTACGATATTTTTGATATAGTAATATCTTTAACACGTGGTCATATTTAAAATAAAATGAGCAATTCAATAAACAAGCAGTTTTTGATCATTTGTTTTGAATCATTTTAATTACTAAATGTCTAAAACCATTCGGTTAGGGGGCATCACGTGAGGTTTATAGGGGGAGGGGAGGTTTGACAATAAATCACGAAATATCACGTGGGAGAGGGTATTGTAAGATACCACGTGTATTTTTTTATCATATTTATTAAATACGGAAGATAAATTTTTCTACTTCATCACAAAATATAATATCAACTAAGGAATTACAGCAGGAACAACATTTTCCAAATTTTGTTACCCTCTTCTGACTCACTTTAAAAATGAATAACGAAATCCACGCCTGGTTAAAGTATCTATAGAACCTCTTGGTCTTATTGAATATCAAAAATAGTCTTTTAACACTACGGGGCGGCACCGATTTCAAAACAATCTACTGTACCGGCTGTAAACTTGATTTCATTGTGTATGTTATGCAATTTGTTTGATAAAAATTTGTGGTCATTGAAGGACATACATTTATAATATTAATTTATTTTTGATCATTTTATAAAGAATGGTGACGTTCAAAACAATTTCCAAAATGCATAGCTGGTTGATTTTGACATGCTTTACAATAAAATGTTGTTTGTTGCCTTCCTCCTGGTGATTTCTGTCAGAACAGACAATACAATCCCTTTTGCCTTCTCTCGCATTTAAAATATGCCACTGATTAGTGAGTATATTTGTTCATTTTTTTGCTGCCGTAATGGTTTGTTTTTTCTATTATATTGTCTAATAATTCATATGTAAAATATAAAGTAAAATAATCTATTTTACTAACGGGGTGTTTGTTGATGATGTATGTCAAACTAATGTGTTTTCGCTCTTCATTTAATTTGTCGAACTTCTTTTTGTTGGTTGGATAATATCATCATCACATTCATCACTATCTTCGGTGCAAATACATTCATACTTGTCTGTATGAATGTCTATTTGAAACTCATCTTCACTACTGCTTAATTCACAAAATTTACCAGTCGTTTTGTCATATTTAAAAGCGCTCTGTCGATTCAAATATTAAAAAAACGACTATATAGCAAAGAAAAAGGCTAAAAATACTACTAAAATAACTTAAAATTATTTTCAAAATACAACACTGTTTATCACTGCTATATGTGATTTACTCATCTTTTCGATGCAAACTGAGTCATTGTTTATAAAATAACCTGTGCCTCACAGAGTATGTTTGTCCACTCAGGTGGACAGCCGTCCCCAAAGAGTTAATTTATATTTAAATAAATAAATATTTCTATTATTTAGTTGTCCATATTGCGTATGCAAAATTCCTTAATAGTTTGTTCATGGTTTCTTATCCGATAATTTTGCAAACGGCGCAACGTACAAAATCGAATTACAGACTTAACATTCTTAATTGATATAACTCATGTGAATTCCTTCGCCTTTGGTATGCCAACTCTCACTTCAGAATAAGTGATTTATAAATAAATTTGCGAAATAGATGTTATCTATGTAGTTTAATGGAAAATTGTATTAATAGAACTATTGGTTTAATTTAAAAATAATGTTTATATTTATTAACCATTAGAACTGGCCATGGTTTTGTGGTATGAACTTGGTCTAGCAAC